CTCTCTCTCTCTCTCTCTCTGTCTTTCTCTGTCTCTGTCTCTCTCTGACTCTCTCTCTCTCTGTCTTTCTCTGTCTCTGTCTCTCTCTGACTCTCTCTCTTTCTCTCTCTTTCTCTTTCTCTGTCTTCCCATCTCTTTTTGACTCTGTCTCTGTCTTTCTCTCTCTTTGTCTTTCTCTGTTTCTCTCTGCCTTTCTCTTTCTCTGTCTTTCCATCTCTTTTTGACTGTCTCTCTCTCTCTCTCTGACTTTCTCTCTCTCTGTCTCTCTCTGTCTCTGTCTTTCTCTCTCTTTGTCTTTCTCTGTCTCTCTCTGCCTTTCTCTTTCTCTGTCTTTCCAACTCTTTTTGACTGTCTCTCTCTCTCTCTGACTTTCTCTCTCTCTGTCTTTCTCTGTCTCTGTCTCTCTCTGACTTTCTCTCTCTTTGTCTCTCTCTGTCTCTGTCTTTCTCTGACTGTCTCTGTCTCTCTCTGACTCTCTCTTTCTCTGTCTTTCCATCTCTTTTTGACTGTCTCTCTCTCTCTCTCTGACTTTCTCTCTCTCTCTGTCTCTGTCTTTCTCTCTCTTTGTCTTTCTCTGTCTCTCTCTGCCTTTCTCTTTCTCTGTCTTTCCATCTCTTTTTGACTGTCTCTCTCTCTCTGACTCTCTCTCTCTCTCTGTCTCTCTCTGTCTCTGTCTCTCTCTGACTGTCTCTGTCTCTCTCTGATTCTATCTCTCTCCATCCCTCTCTCTTTTTCTTTCTTTGTTTCCCTCTCTCTCTCCTGGGGTTTTCACCACTCTGCTCTTTCTTTCCCTCTGCTTGGCCCGTCTCCATGATGCACCTGCTACAGAGGAAGTCCAAGAAGGTATGTGTTGGCCGATGCCTTCCCCTGACTTTGGCCCCTCCCTTTTTCTCCATGGGATTGTCGTGGGGGGGGCTTCCTGACAAGGAGATGAGAAAAGGTCCGTGTCCCTTCCTGGGTTCTTCCAGTGGGTGTCTGGGTAGGACTCATGCTGAAGGAGCTTAAGGCAGACTGCCTGGGGGAGGGGGAGTGGGAAGAAAAGGAAGGAGAGGGAGATAGGGTCACTATCCAGGGTGGTCCGACAGGCCCGAGGGAGGACTCCAGAGAAGGGAGAAGCAGAGAAAGAAAAGGGAGGGGACTGGCCAAAGCATCAGGACCAGGGAGAGGAGCTGGGGAGCCGGTGAAGAGGCCCGGGCGCACAGGCAGTTCCATCTGTCCGAGGCGCGGCTCTGGGGGAAGGCTCATTCCTCCTCAGCGGGCTCCCTTCCCGATCTGGAAGAAGAGGGAGCCATTCGAGGCACTTTTAAAGACCCTTTCTAGCTGAGACTTTATCTGAGAGGCCAGCAAAGGGTGATGCTTCCCTGAGAAGGATGAATGGCTGGGACAGAGAAGCTGCCCAGGAGCCGGCCTCCGCTGAGCCAAGCTCACCCTGGAGCTTAGCGGTAGGCTGAGGATGGCGGCGCCCTGCACGGCTCGCTCCACACGCTATGCCTTTGTGTTCTGTGTTGCCTTGATGCTGCCCTGGGCCAGACCCGGCTGAGACACGCTTCCCGTGCATGGTGTGGAAAGGCATCATGGGGCAGGGCTGCTCCAGCTACAGGCTGGCCCTCCCAGGGCCCTGCCCTAGCCCACCCACTTCCTTTCCCCCAGAGGACTCAGGGCTCCCGGATTCCTCCCCCCTAATATTCCCCAGGCCCTTGTGCTGAGAAGCCTGTCAGGGAGCGACTGTCCCCTTTGGGAATGAGGCTGAACACACCCCTCCCCACACACCTCGGTCCCCTAGCTCCAGCCTGGGTGTGGGCAGGAGAGCCCTGCTGAGCCCATCCCGCCGATCACTGGCGGCTTTGCTCTGACCGCTGGTGCTCCCCGATCTCTGAAGATGGAGGGTCTCGCTCCCACACACGGGAGCCTCCACACACACCCGATCAGTTTGTCGAGTTTTCCAGGTCTCCCCTCTCCTTCCTCTCTTCTGGCCTTTCCTCACCCCCACCCCAAGGTTCTCTCTCTCCTTTGGGCCTCACTTCAAGTTAACTCATTATAGGGAAAAGCCCCAACTTCTGCTTTCCTCAAGTGGCCCCAGGGATCAGTAGCGCCAGGGTAATTGGCCACTTCAGCCTTCTGAGGCCACTGCCTTTGGGACCACGGAAAGAGTACAGACTTAACAGTCAAGGGACCCCTGTTAGAATTGTCACTTGCTACCCGCGTGACATTGGAAACCCCCTTCACTTCCTTGAGCCAAAGCTTTTTGTTTTTTTGTTTTTTTTTTACCTGTAAAGAGAGCGGGGTTAGATTCTGAATCAACGAGCCCAGGAAATGGTGGTCTTCTGGGCACGTGGGCAAAATATCTCTATGTCCAAAGATCAGGTGACTTGCCCAGGCTTGCCCATATGTTATGAAAAGTGAGGTCAGCCTGTGGAATCAGAGGGGAAATGAGGAAGATCAAAAAAGAGGAAACTGAGGCATGATGGACCAGGGCAGCCCACGTGTGATGTGTTCCCCTGAAGCACATTCTCTGTGCTCTCTGCTGTATATGACACATACCTGTCCATATACGCATCTGCCTGTCCATCTGTGCCCACACATCCAGGCAAGCCTCACTGCCTGGCTCCTATGGGCTGGATCTGCCCGGACAGATGAAATCTGGCCTGGATACTTAGAGCAAGGTCGTCCATCCACGAACACTTTTCCTGAGTCTGTAGAGCCCCAATGTGGCCGAGCAGACAAAATCTTCTTAAAAGTACTCACCGTCTCATTACAAAGTATCTTTGGAGGAGGCATCATCTAAGGTCTCGGGCAGGCAGAGCAGTGATCCTGGAGTCAGGGTGCCCGGCTTCTAGTCTTGGCTCTGGGGGAGCTTGGGCAGGTCCCTGGCTCACATGAGAGGGGTGGGGGCTGGGTGGTCCCTGCCAGCCCTGGATACTCACGGACAGTCTGGCGTCCAGGGGCCTGAGCTGGATTCTTCTGTGCGCGGCTGACCCTTCCTGAAGCCTGCCCTTCGGTCTGTGGCAGAAAGAGTAGAAGCGGTGGAGGCCAGAGCCCCCAAGGCCGGCCACACCCACATGTGTAAGGCGGTCAGCCCTCTCTAGCAGCGAGCCGGACAATGGGAGGGCTTGGGTTTTGGGAGTTTGGAGGGCCTGGCGTTTGCAAACGGGCAGAAAGCCAGGCCCCGGCTCCAAGCCAGCCAGGCCCGTGGAGTGGAGGGCTTCCGAATCAGAGTGGCCAATCATTGACCTGACCCCTGCCAGAGTCAGTGAGGGAGTCTGGGCTCTTGCCTCCAAGGCGGGCGGTGGGATTCGCCTTCTTCCGTTTTCCCAAAGTCAGAAGGTTGGAGGGCTCATTCCTCACTTAGTCACCCACTTGCTGCCTCACAGACGGCCCCCAGCCCCTCACCCCAGTGTGTTAGAAGGCTCTGTGGAGGAAAGGGGGACATGAAGGGAAGCAGTCTGGGTGCAGGACAGAGAGCAGGGAGCCCTAGGGCCTGGACGCCAGGCCCCACGGCGTCCCGCAGCGCCCCTGCCCTGTGGTGCCCACACTCTGCCTCTCTAACGGCTCTGGTGCTCCGGGCACTCGCTCTTTTTTTGCATGTGCTTGCCTTTGTGAAGATGTCGCCGAGGACGAGCAAGAAGATTACGAGGAAGGTAAGGGTGCTTGTGTAGGAGGCCCCTCAGCCGGCGGCTGGCTCTCTCCCTTGGCCCCAGGCCGCTGTCCATCATCTGCCCCCTCTCTGCCAGGCTGGCGCCTTCCCGCTTCCTTTTCAGTAACGTTCAGCAGACTAGTGAGTGGGCCGCAGACAGAGCGCCGTCGTGGAGCACACAGTAGGCCCGGTCTCCCAGGAGCGGCGGGAATCTGGCGCTGGCTCTGCCTGGGTTTCTTTCCTCGTCTTCCTTGTCCTCCTCCATCTCCTCCTCTTCTTTACTCTGCCCTCTCCTTCTCTATCCCTCCCTCTCCCTCTGTCTCCCTCTCTCTCTCCCCCTCCACCCTCTGTTAATCTGTCTCTTTATCCTTCTCTCCTCTCACTGTCCAGCTCCTCCACCTTCAGGCAGAGATGACGATGCACCTCCCCCATCTGTTTCTTGGCCTTTCCACGTCTCTTCTGACCTCTTTCTCTTCCTCCCTGCCTTGTCTCTAGGCCTTGGTGCCTTTGGCAGAGGCGGCTCCATGTTTTCCTGCGTCCCCTTCCCTCCTGCCCCCTTTCCACGTGTCTCTCACCTTACTTTCTCAGGGTCCTCAAACAGAGGTGTTTGTGCTTCTCTCTTTCTTTGTCTCCCTGTCTGGACTCAGGGGTCTTGACGAATGTGCCTGTCTGGCTCCCTGAGGCCTGGTGTCTGGCTCCCTGAGGCCTGGTGT